AATCTTATCAACAACAGTAACATTACGTAATAGCAGCACCATGGGTAATTCACAAGACTGATAATGAATTATTACTGTCTTCTGCCTCGCGAGTAACTCATTTTTAAAAATTAAAGCAGGTGTGTTTACGCCCATATTGACACATTTTAAATCACTTAGGAGGCAGGCTTCGGACCGCCATGCTTGTTAGGACCAATCCACGCAGAGAGGGATACAACATCCCAGCAAAAAAAAAAACAACAGCAGATACTCGATAAAATTTCTCCACACTCGAGAATCGAACTCAAGTCTCTTGAGTGCACCAGCGAAGCACCTAACCACTACACCACAGACGTCGGGCAAGCAACAGAATCGAAGGGTCAATTACCAAACGGGAAAGTAAAATCGAAAAACACGGCGATGGATTACAGATCTATAAATAAAACAACACCAAAACAAAAAAGAACGGACAAATAGTGCAAAAAATACAGCTCCCGATCCAGAGTCGAAATGGAGGGCGGATTTTGTGAAGAGTTCGTCTGACTTCGATCGTAGTTTTAATTTGTACGTCTTAGCCAATGCACTTTTCGGGAGCTAAAATTTGCTTAGGTCTATGCGGGTTATCTACTTGATCGAATAGTTGCAGCCAAGTGGGTGTCTAAAATTGTCTTTTATTTTTTTTTTGTCGTTGTTTTTGTGTGTGGAGTTTGATGTAATCTTAAAGCTTGTTCAGTTGTCCCCCCCTCAAAAAAAGAATAACCGATCTATCTGGAATGGAAGTAGAGATATTTACGGTTATTACAGGGGAGGACCACCTGGTATCAGGAGTTAAATAAACAAGCAAATGGCCGTCATCACAATTTGGTGACTTCCACAGCTCGAGTGTTCTAGGAAACTGCAAATTTGCATTTATTTTTTTTTTGTCGTTCATTAACATATTTCAATATAATCCATACGGAAATGTGTTTTTAAATGGTTAAATGTACATAAAAGGTGTTAAGCCAAAAAGAAGAGAAAAAAATTCAGTCAAAATTGCCCACTGGTTCTTTGAGTTCATTATTTTGACGAGCGTCTGATTTCACCACGACGCCATGCACAATAGTATGTACTTGCTGACACGTACGGGCACTTAAAAGTCTGCAGGAAAGCAAAATCAAGGTTTGTAAATAAATGGTGAAGACTTTCTCCTCTTGCATTTGTTATCCAAAATTTATGTAGTTGAATTTCTTAAACACTTTGTTAGATTTTTAGAATGATCCACAAAGCCCACATATGAACGATGAAAATCACTCAGAGATTTGAAAAGGAATAACTACACATATAAACAGCCGGAGTTACTGGGAAGGAAATATGTACAACGAATAAGCATATCGAGAGAAATTTGAATGGATCAATTCTAAAGTCATATTTATGTATAAACACATAAAAATCATATGACAATTTACACACCAACAAAGACACGCCGACGCAACACAAAAAAAATAAATAAATACATATACGTAAACACTTGCACACAAACACACACACACACACACACACACACACACACACACACACACACACACACACAAACACATCTCTATTCACTCTTTCATTCATATGAGCATAGCAGTGTATAACGAAGCGACAAAGATACAAAATACGTACGTACGACCACACACGCGCACATGGGAAAATTCCGCACACAGAATTTCCTAAAAAGTTAAGCAAAAAGTGAACTAAAAACAAAATGTGCTTATGGACTGTTTCGTTCCCCCCCCCCCCCCCCATCTCCCTCTCTCTCTCTCTCTCTCTCTCTCTCTCTCTCTCTCTCTCTCTCTCTCTCTCTCTCTCTCTCTCTCTCTCTCCCTCTCCCTCTCTCTCTCTCTTTCTCTCTCTCTCTCTTTCTCTCTGTCCCCCTCCCTCTCTCTCTCTTTCTCTGTCTCTCTCTTTCTCTCTGTCTCTCTCTTTCTGTCTCTCTCTCCCTCTCTCTCTCTCTCTCTCTCTCTCTCTCTCTCTCTCTCTCTCTCTGTCTCTCTCTTTCTCTCCTCTTTCAGGTGATCGATGCGGACTGATAAACAAACTGAATGACAATCTGTGCCAATACCAACGTGAAAAGACAAGCAATCTGAAGTTGTGTCGAAAATTCCTTGCCTCGGCAATCTTGGCCTTTGCCAGGCACACCAGTAAGCTTATGTCGACACTGCTGCTGGTGACCATGGCAACGGTTAGTATGGACCTTATGTTCCGTGGAATTCACCAGAAAATCTCTGCTTCTATGAGGAAAATATGATGCTGATGACTTTGACCTTAACCGCTCTTGGGGAATCCGGCCAATTAAATCTTTAATCAGCCGGTGCTTTTCGTCGAATCGTGTGTCTGCAACTTGGGCACTGGTAGGCGAAGATTTGATCAAGGAAGAACTCAAGCTGGTGATACTGACCAAAGACATGTCTGTTGTGTCCAGTGATTGTCGTCGACACTCTCCTCTCATTGGTTCCCGCTCTGAGGAGCATGTCTGCACCTTTTGGAAAAGAGCGTCCACGTCGTCCTTTAGATACAACATTTGGAGGCACAGCGAACGCTGGAAGTTCTCCAGGTGTTGGAGCTGAGTTTTGAAATGGGCAGTTTCTAACCTTGCCTTTTGTTGTACCTCTATCCTGCTGAAGGCGCTTCGGTGGTTGGGTCCTGAACTGCTGTTTGGGCTCCCAGAACACGCACGCTGTCTTTTTATCGCCCCTATTTCGCTGTTCATGGCTGGGAGTCGTCTCGGTTTCCGAACGGAGGGCGAAAAGACTGGTGAAGTGTCGTCGCCAAAGTGTGCCAAGCAGACATTGGGTGACGTCACGAGAACAGAACTTTCGCTCCGGCTGGAAGACAAGTTAAAGGACGCTTCTTCAAGATCCCCGTCTAAGTCTTCTTCTACCCGGTCGACGAAAGCGACGTATCTGCTCTGGACAACCTTTCGAGGGGTTGAGGAGCGATTTCGAGCTGAAAAGATGTTGAAATTATAGCAAAAAAGGTTAATCTTTTTCTTGTTTTAAAAACATGTAAGGACAGGCACATTCACAGCACAACGTATCTGTACCAGGGCGCCATTTCAGCAATGCCTCATGATATGTTGGTTAAAGTGTCAGTCCTGTCTCACCTGTCTTCTTGCATCTGTGCTGTGTGAATGTGTGTATGAGGGGAGGGGGGTCGTCTGTGTGTGTAGGTTTGTGTAGGTGTATGTGTGTACGTTTGTATGTCTGTGCATTCACAGTACTACGTATCTATACTTTTAACTAAACCCTGGTGAAAACAAAGAAGCTATTTCTTCACCAGAAAGCTTGATTAAATTATCTTACAGCTTGTCTTTTAGAGCCAACCCAGTTACATATTCTAGGAGCTTGTTTGAAAAATCTAACTTGGGATTTACAGCTAGATATTCGCACGTAAAATAGTCTTATATAACGACTCCTCCGTCTAGGTCTACATTGAAACTATTATATTTTTTTCTAATTTGTTTTATTTATGTTGGAAGCTGTTAATTTGGGTTTTTTGTTTGTTTTTGTTTAGCTTTCAGTTGATAGTTCAATCAGTTGGAGAAATAGGTGATGCAGAAATCCACACCTTTAGGATTCGTTTTAAGCCAAGATCTACCCTTCCTTGAAGTGTCGTGACGCCGAGCAGTGGGACGTCCCATCAATATCTGCGGCACATTGCTGTCCTTGACCAAAACTTCCACATCTGCTTCCTCACTGTCTTTACCTCCAGCGAGACGAGAAGACGGAAAAAAAGACATTAAATAAAACCATTTTGATATTTTATAAACTTAAATTCATTGACACTCTTAATTACCTGAAACTATTTCTAAGTAGACCTTAGGTAGAAACAACTAAAAGTTGAATTGTAGACTATTGAAGTTATTTCCTCCATCTTTTTGCTTTTAAAAGTAGGTCTACTCTCATGTTATATTTCACTTCTTTAAAAGAAAGTCGCTGATTTTAAAAAAAGCAACAAACCAACAACCCCAAATAAACGAAACCTTCATCCCTTGTGAAATAACGGCGAGAAAACCTTGACGTCAGTCAAAAATCTAAAACCCATACATAACCTCCACACTACCCCCCCCCCCCTTTCAATCTCTCCCTGTAAAAAAAATCGACCCCCTATTTCACTCACATACCTTTTCCTCCAGAATGGGGATCAGGTACTTCTTTTTCTGTCTTCTTTGTCTCACAATGTTTGCGTTTTTTTCGTTGACCCTTTTTGGCAGGGGAAACTTCTGTGTCGCCTCTGGCGTCTGCAGTACCGTGTTGGGGATACAGCAAAACACATCACTGAATAACCTGAATACTGGGTTGTGGGAAATTTAAGAGTATATGCGAAGAATTTACATACAGATAAACACTCGGTATTGTGTGTCGTACATTTGAACTGAACATGTCATGGAGAGAGTTTCTGTAGCATTTTTCCGAAATATTCATTTTGTCTATCTTCTGAAATATAAAATACAGACATATTTCTGAACAGCCATTTTCGGGTTCCACTTTTGAAATGTCACAATTAATTGTGAATGATTTCAGGAGTGACAAGATTACACAAGTTTCTTATTGTCTTCCCCTTAGCTGAGATGGAATTATGTTTGACTAAATGATTAAAGGAATAGACTAAGGGAAATAGCAAACTTATCAACATCATGTGGCTACTTATGAAGGGTAGACCATCATAGCAGCTACCTAGAAAATGAAAGATTTAGAACGCCGTCTTAATAAAATACCTAGTGAACATCCTATAGTAAAAAAGAGACGCTCGTAAATACTGAATTGTGCTTTTGTACATCAAAATGCTCCTGCCAGGGAACATGTCTGACACTGTTCGTAAATGACCAAAGAGAAAAAACCCGCAAAAACTCTTCGTCCCATGTGAAATATCGACCAGAGAACACTGAAGTTAGTCAAGATCTAAAACTCCACACACCCTCATCCTTACAAAAACATTTCAATAAACTGAATTTTGTAGGGTTTTTTTTTCTGAAGGCGAAATCAGAAAACTGTGAGACAAATACACGATGCTTCTGCTCTCTGTTTCACCCACGTACCTTCCCTTCTGGAGTGAGGATCGGGTACTTCTTTTCCTGTCTTCTTGGTCTCAACAGGTTTGTGGTTTTTTCGCTGTCCATTATTGGTTGGGGAACCTTGAGTGCTACCTTTATCTTCAGCTGTACCTTATTTGGGAGGCAGCAAAACACATCACTAAGTGACCTTTAAACTGAACAAACAAAGTATAAGAGTACCATTTCTACTGTTGACAGTGTTATATAGATGAACAGAACCCTCAATGCCCTACATCTCCCACCCCCAAACCCAACAAAACAAATAAAATACACAAAACATTTCAATAAACAGAATTGTTGGGGTTTTTTTAGTTTTGGTTTGGGTATTTTTAAAGGCAAATCAAAAATCTGCGAGACAAATACACGGTGTTTCTGATCTCTGTTTCACCCACGTAACAGTTAGAAAAGGATGCACAGGACAGGCTTTGCTGGAGAAATGTTGTTGATGGCCTGTGCTCCACTAAGAGTTAAAAGGGCAAGAGAGAGAGAGAGAGAGAGAGAGAGAGAGAGAGAGAGAGAGAGAGAGAGAGAGAGAGAGAGAGAGAAAAGAGAGAGAGATAATTTCACCCACGTACCTTTCCCTTGTCAGAGGACAAATGTTAGATAATGTCAGAGCTCTACATACCAACAGCAGAAGCTCAGTAAGAACGAAGGAAGGCAATACAGACTGGTTCAAAGGTAAGATCTGGAGTACGACAGGGATGCGTTCTATCTCCCCTCCTGTTTATAATATATATATGGACTCCATAACGCAAGAAGCAAACCAAAGCTCAGAAAGTCTAAATGAATGTCTGTTCGCAGACGACCAATGTCTTATTCATCATGACCAACAAAGCCTCCAAAATCACACTACCGAACTCAACAACACCAGTGAGAAATTCAACATGAAAATAAGCACATCAAAAACAGACGTTATGAAAGTGAGCCGGAACCATAGTTCCTTGAACATCCAAGTCGATAGTAAACAACTGAAACAGGTGAAGGAGTTTAAATATCTTGGCAGCACTTTTTATGAAAACGGGTCCATAGACAGAGAAATAGAAATGCGAACTCAAAAAGCCAACGCTGTCACCTACCAGCTCGCACCCCTCCTATCTCGTGCAAACATCTCCATGGACACAAAGAGACAGCTTATCACCTCAATATTCATACCAACATTACGTTATCAGTGCCAGACCTCGACCTTAAGCACAACCCATGAAAGCACAATCACCGCATGCGAGATGAAATGTCTCCGCAAAACCCTTAACAACAAAAGACGAGACAGGCAGAGAAATGAAGATGTAAGAGCCGCTATCAGCACTGAGTCCTGCCTGCATTACATAGAAAGACAGAGGATACAATGGTTTGGCCACCTGTTACGCATGTCACATGACCAGCCAGCCTCGAGAGCTTACAACACCAAGCACTCAGGCTATAAAGGAAGAGGAAAGCCACGCAAAAGGTGGATCGAGGGGGTCAAGGAAACCCTAAGAAAACATAACATCGCAACTGAAAGAGCTGCAGAGCTGGCCTACCATAGAAAACTGCATCTCCTCTAGACGCTTAACGGCAACAGAGGATGAAAAAGTAAAAAGTAAGTAAAGTAAGTACCTTTCCCTCTGGTGTGGGGATCGGGTACTTCTTTTCCTCTCTTCTTGGTCTCAACAGGTTTGCTGTTTTTTCGCTGTCCATGATTGGTGGGGGAACCTTGCGTTTCACCTCTATCTCCAGCTGTAGCTTATTGGGGATACAGAAAACACATCACTAAATGACTGGGTAAACAAAGTATAAGAGTACCATTTCTATTGTTGACAGTTTTATATAGATGAACAGAACCCTCAATGCCCCTACATCTCCCACCCCCAAACCCAACAAAACAAACAAAAAACCCAAAACAAATGGTTGTTTTTTAAAAGTTTTGGTTAGGGTATTTTTAAAGACAAAATAAAACATCTGTGAGACAAATTCACGGTGTTTCTGATCTCTGTTTTACCCACGTAACTGTTTGAAAAGGATGCACAGGACAGGCTTCGAGAAATGTTGTTGATGGCCTGTGCTCCACTAAGAGTTAAAAGGGCGAGAGAGAGAGAGAGAGAGAGAGAGAGAGAGAGAGAGAGAGAGAGAGAGA